GAAAATAGAGCTGGTTAAATTTAACACCATTAAATGCTACAATGTATTACATGTCACAAATATAGATTACTGATTTCAAGAGAAGTTAAAATTTACTGTATTACCATGATTGTTATTAGTGATACTTTGATCCAGTATTTATGGTATGGTGTCACATACACTGAATGTGTACTCATAATTAAACAAGTTAATAATCATTATTGAATATCCAGTAATATAATTTCATCACTGTATATAACAGGTAACAACTGCTAATGCCTAATTGAAACTTTCTAAATATTTTATGAAATTGATCTCCATTAGCTAAAGTATTTTTCAAAATATACTTCACTTGATAAAACATTCACTTCCCAGTGGCAAAAAAATTAACATACATACATATTAATAATCCTTAGAAAAAAACCCTTTAGCCAGGTATATATTTCATAGCAGCCATCCCTTGAATGCTTTTATAAGGTAAACATTCAACTTGATTTGAAAAATATTTTACTTTTTAAAAAAATTTCTTTCCTCTCCTATCTTGATATATCTTCTACAACAGGGATTTTCAACGAAGGGGGCTTCAGGAAAAAGAATATGGTCAGCCCTTTATTTATATGTTAAGTATTTAGTTTTAGTTCATGAATATCAAAATCTACTTTTGTTCAAGTTTTGGCCCTTATCAACATTTTCTACACTTTTGTTCTTTAATTTATAAAACAAGTTGAAACATAGTCTGAATCTAAATAAATGTATATGCATTTTTGAAGAGTTGGAGAGGGGGAAAGGATTTTCTAGCAATGGCGAAAGAGATGCATGGGGCAGAATAGGTTGTTTTATTATTTTTAATACATCTATGCTATAGTATTTATTATAATTAAAGCCATGCCTTTCAGATACTTTTACAATTGTTGAATCAAAGTAATATCCTTTTAATCTTCATTCTAAAACACATTACCATCATAAATATTCATCTAAAATGTGTAGGTAGGAAGTATTTTTGTGTTTCTTGTGAAGGCAAGGCCATGAAGTTCTGTACTTCCTTTGTATTTTCAGATTAGTCATGCTACTCTAACATTTATGTTCTCAAAACCTGCACACTGTATTATCATTTTCCAGGTTACAACTTTAGTTTGACCAAAAAGAAAAATAAATTCACAAATGTTTTATTGCACAGAACTTATAAGTTCACAAAATGGAGTAGATAAAAGTAAAAGATTAAACGTAAAATATACCACACTCAAACCCCTTGGGTTATGATTTTGCCATTTGTTCTAAGAGACATCACAAGATTAAATTTGAAGGGTTTTCGTCTCAAATATTAATCCGACTCGTCGGGACTTTGGCGATTCCGGATTATAGATCATCAGTTTAAATCTGGTAAGATGGCATGCAGAAATTATACAATTAAAAATATGAAACCGTTATTTATGAAATAAAGAACAATTATGATCTAAAGGGTATCAAAATTTACAAAAAAAAAGCTTAATATTTATTTGTTTACTTTATTAAACATTTCTTTCAACAAGCACATGCGTATGTGATAATACTTTCTCTTTAATTCATAAACAGACAAATTAGAAAATTGCAACCAAATTGCAGAAAACTATTTGATGAAATGTAATAACTTGTGTATTTATATCGGAAGCAAATTAATGACAAGGAATTTGATTTAAATCATATCAAAGACGGAATACATCGAGATGAAATACTACATTTAGTAAGGAATTATAAGCCGAATAAAATAAAAACATTTGCCCTGAAGATAAGGATAGTGCTGACAAATCAACTTCCAGTTCATTGCGCGCGCTGCGATGTCCCCCCCGCAGAGCAGCATGAAATTGATAAACAGATTTCGGAATGGTTAAGAAACAAAGGATATGCCTTTTTCCATTTTTTGCAGCAATTCCACTTTTTGTTTAATGGACTTCGAAACATACTTTTGCTTTGTAGATCCTGTACATATTAGTAAATATATATCGGAAATTCTGTTTGACATAATCGAAAGTTCAAGCTTACTTTTATAAAATTGCTCTAACAGTCTGCAAAAAATAATAAGCCTGATCCAATTCGAAGATTACGGAACAACGCAATCTGCAAAATTAGCTAAAATAGATAATTAGATAATTTTAGCTTATACTGTCCGTTATACGATAAACCCGCATGCATAAACATATTATGCGCAGCCGTAAAGGTCTTACACGCATGATGCATGCGCAGAGAGTTTGTAGCTTTGAGGTCCGGATTATGGGTGTCCGAATTAACGACTTCTTGACTGTATACTTAACCCCATAGTTGCAGTTTCTTATTATGCTAATGTTTACAATTACCTGTATTTTATACTGATACCATGTAAAATTTTTCATAGTTACAATTTTGAACAATTGTTACAAGTTTACAATTCTGAATGATGCTATCAAGTAAAGGCGGGTGGTATCTCCCGCCTGTGCATGATTCAAATGCTTTCAGATATTTTGTTATGTGAGAATGTATACTAAGAATTTTTGAGAGAGTGAGAATAATTGCAAGTGGTCATGAACTGTGTAAAAGTAATCAAATTAAAGTTGCTAAACCTTAATTTTAGTCCGCAAGTGCATTGTGTAACAATGTGCTTATACAGTCTGGTGAGAAAATGCATAAATGTTATATTTGTAACAAATTATTTGCAGTCAGAAGTGATTTAGAGACATAAGATTATGCCCAGAAGTAAGGATCCATGTGAATGTGATCTATGCAAGAAATCATGTGAATGGAAAATTAATATACAGAGTTACATATCATTATTTACGCTGGTGATTAAACACATATGAATGTGATATGTATAAGAAATTATTTGTATGCAAACAATACCTACAGGGGTACATGATTATTCATACTAATAAAAAAAACTACTGCCTTAATATCTTGATGATTATTCATACTAATAAAAAAAAAACTACTGCTTAATATCTTGATGATTATTCATACTAATAAAAAAAACTACTGCTTAATATGCTGAACATATTGGAGCTCCATTTCAACATTACTTCATACATCATAAAAATCCTAATTTAACATGCCTGCAGAAGTACGCAGAATAAATTAGGAAAGTACATATTTAATGGAAAGTATCCTGTGTGTGATAACACCTGGGAGAGTACAGCAGTTGCAATTAATGTGACCTATGTTATGTCTTCCTCAGATTTTGAGGTGATATTTTTTATATCTCATAACATTCAATTTTCAAATATGATGCCAGGTATGAACACTTTTTTTAACAGAAAATTACTCAAGTCATAAGTGGGACATTTCAGATAACTGGCTTTTAGAGATATCTTCTTTTTTTTTTCTTTGGGTGGGCCCACCAGCAGCCGAGCGGTAAAGTCCCTGAACTCTGGTAGTTTGGCTCAAGGTTCAAATCATGCTGTTGCAACTCAACTCTTGCTGAGATCCAATGGCTTAGTGACGTCATCTCGAATGATGAACTCTCGCTTAGAGATTGTAGGAGAACTCGGAATGGAGAAGTCGCACGCTGCGTCGTGCCACATTTAAACACTTTTAATTATGTAAATATTCTGTAACCCGTTTGCGTCTTCATTAAATATGTTTGTGTAAAGAAAGTATTTATCATTTATGGATTATTCCCTTCAAGATTTTGCAGATAGAGATGCACAGAAGAAATCAATTTCAACCAGTGGCCCTGGCAGAACCCATTGGGACAAGGTAAGCAGTTTTGTTTTACCTTGATTAATTAGTTAGAAGTAACAATAATGATAGGAAAATTAAAAAAATTAAAACAACGCGAATGGGCTGGCTGCATGGCGTTTCATGGTTTTCCGTATGTGTAACGTTTATACGAGCCAGTTTCCCTTAGAAAGTCCTCCCTCCCCGTAGGTAGATAATCCTCGAGGTTTTGCAGCAATCATATAAACAAAAACAAACTTTTATTAGATTGTGACAAAAGACAGCGATAAAAGGGAAATAATCTTATTTCATTTTAATGGCAATTGATATACTTTGCATATTTTTCATTCCCACTTGTTTTCTTTCCAGTGATGACGACATAGTCATAATAATACAAGTAAAGAAAAACAATGAGATGAATTTTCCACTTTTTGCTATGGAAATATTCTTATTGTGACATTAATTTAAGTAAGACAACAATTCAAACATTTAATTTTGTCCCACATTTACAAATTATTGCTTTAGTAACTTAGGCTGAAACAGCAGCCCTTCAAATCATTGCCCCTTTGCTTCAGGCTATTCAGACATGAGTCACCTAGAAATAGTTATCTGAAAATTGCTCTGTAATAACAGTGGGTGATTTTCGTCCCCATTAGATATTTCAGTTATGCTTTAGAAATGTTTGAATTTAGAGAAAACATTTGAAGCTAGCTCTGCAAATTTATGAATGTTACACTTGTTCTCATTGCATTAACACCTTGAATAAGTATTACATTAGAGGTGTTAATTCAAGGTACATCTTTTTGTGATACTTCAAAGATTATCACAATGTTTTCTATGCAAATCACCAATGCTTTTTTTGCAAACTGTAACAGAATTAAGTTGTATTCCAATTTGATCTGCAACAATATCATACATTTAGAAAAATGTTCAAAACAGGTAATAGAAGAAAAAAAAATTTACAATTTTGTTTGAAATTTAAAAAAACTGAATGCAGTTAAAACAAAATAAATTAGAATTATGCCTTAAAACCCTGTGAAACACTGGATAGTTATGACTAAAATTTATAAAGTTTCAATGCAAATATGCAGTTTAAGTATATTTAGTGAAATCACAGACAAAATTGGCTGGGAACAGAGAATATGAATTTCTAAATAGGGTAAAAGTAAGTAGTATTAAAAAAAAAAAAAAAAGGTTAAGAGTTAAATGAGAATATTTAAGAAATGCTAATGAATATCATTTAAAGATTTTTACTGTTGTATTTAATTAAATATAAACTTTATTGGTTTGTAAAAATATTTTAATTCAAAATGAAAAGTAATCTGATTTTGAATAACAATTTGCACTTGATATCTAAATTCATATATAACATCTTTTATTAAATATAATGTATAAGATAAAGACAGATTCATCATTTTTTGTAATATTTAGACTCTTTAGTCCCATTTTTGTAATATTTAGACTCTTATATTGAATCTTGTGCCATATTTCTCCGCCTGCAATATCAACAAAATACCTCTTGATAACTTGCAAATCTTTGGCAGGTCAAACTTTTCATCTCACATGTTCAAAGATTTTCATTTCTCATGTTTACATCAGCTTGGTCAAATTTTCACTGAAAAGCAGCCATTCAGATTACATTAATAGAGCCATTAATTCCAGGTGTGCTTCTCAGAATTTCTGCCAACACAAACAATTCTTTAGAAATACGGTTAGAGTAGGTTAACCATCACCTTCAGATGAATGCTGAAAAAAATTCATTTTAATGAATTATATGCATATTTTCTAGCTATATAAAAATTCTAGCAAATAATAAACTAAAACATATTCAGAAATTATAATAATAACACTAAATGTAATAATTATAATAATGGTGTTGTAACTGATAACATAGTGTAAATAATTTAAAGCATGTAATTTATATTACAGTAAACTCACTTCATTAGGCAAACCAAAACAAAAGTGAAACATGAGTTTGTTCCTTATTGATGTCAATTGTGCTGGATGTCTGAATGTAATCATTCATTTACCTGGAGAATACTTATTTGAAATATCACCACTTGATTTGACCATGGGAAAATGAAAGCAATATTTATTATGTAATTAATTCCCCCCCTGTAGCACTGTATAAACATCTATAACAAATTTTGCTTTCGTAAGAAAACTATGTAAACAAATGTAAGGGTGATAACAGAATATTTAGATTTGATTTGAATGTGCAAATATTCTGTTACTGTCTGATTATTTGCTCAACCTTTCTGAAAAGCATAAATCATTTGTGACTAAGTTTTCGCTAGCCTACGATGCAAAAGATAAGTTATTTTTAAAAACAGCAGCAATCCTTAGAAATACATAAAATAGCAGCAAATTAACAAAAAAAAGGGGGGGAGAAAGAAAGAAACACCCATAAGAATTACATTTACTCCACCCCTCCCCCCACTGTTCTCCCCATGTGCACATTAACCTGTTTTAGATTCAGAAAACATCAGAAAATTGCAGAAACTTGACATCGGGCACAAATTTGCACTGCATACACTGTGGTTTCCGCATGTACACATTTTTTTCCCCTTAAAAAAATCACTGAATTGAACAAATTTACTAGTGTACAAATTCAAATGCTTATGAAATACTTCATGGAGATACATAAAATTGTGTTGTAAAATTCAGCAAAATCTTATGCATTCTCTATTGTTACAAAAAATGCCATATTTCTGAAGAAATGCAACTCTTTCTTTGTCACCAACCAGCAAACTTCTTAACAAAGAAAATCTAGCACATCACATATTTGAATACTTGAGTGCAAAATAACCAAGATCCATTCAGGGAAATTTTAAATGCAGTTTTTAAGTCAACTGAGGCTCATGTGATATGCTTTATTCTGTGTTTGTCACATAGGAAAATTTGAAAGCATAACTTGAATTAGCATAGCATTCTTATGATCTGGAGCATGTAGGAGATGACACATAAATATGCCTGAAATCTTTCAGAAGTGAGACCTTCCTACAGTCAAGCAAATAAGCAAGTGCTATGGGTGCAAAGTGGTTTGTCAATAAGTAGAAAAGGTACTGGCCAGGTGGCTTGAAGGAGCTAGGAGACGAAGATACAATATAAATGCAATAAGTCTGTTTGCAAGCACAGTGGTGGTGGTGGGGGGGGGGGTTCAGAGCCATACATTAATTTAGAATGGGTGAGCTGAAACGGGGGGGGGGGGGGATTAACTGCAGATAGATAAGCAAGATCTTATTTTTTATAACAAGAATCTGAAATTAATAAGCCAATAAAACAAAAACAATTAAGTAACAAATTAAAAATGTGAGACCTAGTCAAAAATATGAGCAATTGATTTTGAATACAAATAAAATTAATTCATTAAGTTACAGCAGCAAAACCAAATCAACTGAGCATTCTTAATAATGTACCAGATCATATGGTGATTTTTGTTTCATTACAGTCATAATGTGGCACGGGAATGCTTTTTAGTTTATGTCATACATATTACTGAAGAATTTCCTCAGTAATTCTGCATGTATTATTTATTTTGTCGCACTGTAAATTCCTTGTATTTTGCACTGTTAGTAATAAACCACCGGATATTCACGATGTGCCCAAGTGTAACATTTTGCATAACTTGAAATTTATTAATATGAGTTTGACTGAGAAATCCCCATACAGGACAGGTATCAGAAATTATAGGTCATAACATGGCTTTACAAATGAGTAACTTACTGTCTATAGATAATAAAAAGAGTTACAAGAAATTTAGGAGGTAAGTGTATGTTAAGTGCCTTGAAAATTGGGAGTTATGTATGTAATGTAGAGATTCTATGTTAACTTTTGGTCAGGAATAACACTAAATACATGATGTGCTTGGTGCATGGGTTTGTAGTATCTGATATTTTGATGTTCTATTCAATCTTCCTTTTTTTCGTGAATAGAATTACTTTTGATTTTATTACATTAATGAGGATTTTCCATGTCGGAAGACAGGACTTTAGTGCATGAAAGTGGATTTGAAGTAACTGGATGATTGCATATAGGGATGAGTTTTTGGCTAGGATTGCAATATTCCCTGCAAACATAGCAAGTGTGGTGTATAGTGTTTGTGGTGTGTAATTATCACAAATTAAGAAGTATATAGGTTTAATTAAAGAAACCTGGGGCACACCTGCCTGGATATGCCATGTTGAGGAGTACGTGTTTTTATAATGATTGACAAATCTTCTATCAGGAATATATGCTTTAGTGATACTTATGATGTATTCTGAGAAACCTGATGTGATTAGTCTGTACAGTAGTCCATTAAGCCAAACACAATCCAACACTTTTGATATAACAAGGAAAAGAGCCTCAGCAGTTGTTTGGTTTTGCTGACCTATTCACAACCGTTAGTTCCGTGACTTGATAGAATGTGTGAACTGTTGAATGTTTCCTTGGAAGCCATGCTGCTGAGAAATAATGACATTGTCATCATCCAGGAATGCAATAATTCTGTCAAATATAATGGTTTCAGCAATGTTGCTCAAACTTGAAAGTAGGCTTACCAGTCGATATGATGCAGGATCGGCTATAAATTTAACAGGCCTAGAAATAGGAATAATCACCTTCCATTTTACAGGGAAATATCTCAGCTTCACTAAAGACTTGATGATTCTTGAATTTGAAAAGCATCATGCAGCCCATCTGACGAATGATCTTGTTGCTGATTCTATCAACTCCAGGAATCAATATGATTTTTCCCTCGATAAATTGAATAACTTCTGATGAACAGATAACAAGAAAAATATTGTTTGTGAAAAATAATATATGTCAAAAAAATAAACTGTCTGCTCTGTGTTTGGCTTTGAATGTTATTAGTGTAAGCCCGAGAAGAGTAGTAATCAGTACAGTGAAATTTCAATGTGATACCAATGGGGCCATTAAGGGGCTGAATGCTTGTGTAGATCTTTTATACCTAGAAACAGCTTTCCAGACTGAGTTATCTCTTGAAAGTGAAACTTTCTATTAGAGCATCTCACTCACTCACTATTTCATGCATATTAAATGTACAAAATAGTACAGTCCATATTAACTATTGGTAATACTGCGCTGTTTAAAGCTTTGGCATATGCCGTTCAGTTTGTAATAAGTGCTTTATTGTGTGGAGTGGTAGAGCTATTGATTTGTGCATCCATCAAAAATGGGTTGTGATTTAATGAAAATTCACATAAACTTTCTATTCACGGTATTAATATATTTCAGCACAAAGAAATTGATGATATCACGATTATCAGAGCTATAGCGTGTTGGGTCCATACAGCTGCAATACAGAGGTTGGCCTTTGACAGAAAACCATTTAAAATGTATCAGTATTATTGCAGTTACAATTTCTGTGGTGTGCACTAAAGTTACCACTAGGAATAACTCAACTGATTATGTGGGATAACACAGTTAAATCTGTATTAAAATCCTTTTGCCGTTTGTGTGATGGTGGTACATGAAGATGAATGTGACTAGTCGTTGAGTGTGGTGTGATCATCATAGCTATCGTTTCGATAGCGAAAAGCTGTTGAAATATTTCAAAATGAGGAAAGAAGTACTTTACTAAGATCATAAATGTACCAGAAAGATGCTGATAGGTGGGAGGTCTATCTTTTTTTAACATTCGTTACTGACAACATCAAACACTTCTTGCAGGACAGGAATGTGTTCTTTTATGAGGAGAATATAAGGGTTGTACTCACAATACCCTTAATTTGCAGTTAATCCAATAAAATAATAGGTTATAATACTGATATTTGCAACAGAATTATTCACTGGCCCTTAAGCTCATTAAGTGTTTCAAAGTACACAAACAGTTTATCAATATCAAAATAATTTTTAAGTTTAGGCATATATATTTTAAAAATCTAGGTAATTTCAATAAGTTTATTCTTGAAGCTTTTCAAGAAGACCATAATTTTATTTTAAATTCTGTATTTTTAATGTAACTGTTCTTTATAAAAAGACCATTACCAGTGCACACAAATTTAAGAAAAAGAAATTGAAGCATTGCAATAAGTGTACATGTGTTTTTAACTGTTTTCTAATAACAGAATTAATTCAAAATTAGTGTCAATAACTTAACACTTATTTCTATGCTAATTTTTACTTATGTATGCTTAATATCATGTTTTTTTTCTCCTAATTTTAATTTATATATAATAAATATTAAATATGATGATTAACCAGTTAATATTACATGTATTTTTTTCCTCCCCTCTACTAAAATTTATATTATTTAAATATCATGTTCACCAAGGTAAATTTTATTTACATACATTTAATATACTTTTCATCCTGCAATCTTTATGCTTAATATGTTTAACCAGCTAATTGTTATTTACATTTGCTTCACATCCTTTTGTATATGCTTAATACATTTTTTAATGTAAATTTAACTTGTACATAAATTTCATACTGCTTCTTCTAATGCTCGGTAAATATGTTTAGCAACATAACTTTGACTTATACATGCTTAACACTTTGAAGACTGTGGCTGAAAAATTGGGCAGAATTGCAATGTCTCAAAAAGATGGCTCTGACCGAAATATGATCCAGATAAATTTTGCCGCCTATCCCTCAAACCTTACAGATAGTCATTCCATGATTACATTCATGCTTAGTAAATACTGCTCACAACCTTGAAACCTTACAAATACCCTTCACGTTTCCCATCAACAATGAAATGTTAACTTGGGACAAAAATCTTTCCCTATGTTTCATGTTAT